CCTGCTCGCCCCAGAGGGGGTGGGGCCGGACAGGAACAAGATGGCTGCCTGCCTCCGAGCAGGCAACCGGATCCCCACGCCAGGCGGACAGGACAGTCTCGGACGCAGGAGCGGTGGCAGCGATCCCAGCAGATCTTCCCTGAAGCGGTTTGATGTGGATCTCCTCCGGCCGGGTTGTGATGAGCTACCCGTGCCCGAGGCCGCGGCGGCGGCGGCGGCGGCGGCGGCGGCGACGGGAGCGCTGGTGGGGGGAGGGGCTGCGGCAGCCCGGGACAGTGCAATGCAGTAAAACTGTCCAGTCCTTGCGATGTTCCAGCGATAGTGATGGCCGAGCTCTGTCTGAAGAGCAGGCTGCAGTGCTGGGGTCCCCAGCCTCCCGGGGCGAGAGTCAGAGACCCACTGCAGATCTCCCTTGTAGAGGGCTTCAGACACCGGGTTGCCCGGTCGCCATCTTGCCGCAGGATGGACATTTTAACAATGTTAATTCTTCCATGCTCATGTTAATTCTTCCATGAGCATGGAATATTTTTCCTTTGTTTGTGTCTTCTTGGATTTCTTTGAGCAGTATTTTGTAGTTTTCATTGTAAAGGTCTTATACCGTTCTGGTTAGGAAGAGGCTGAGGTATTTCTTTTCTTTTCTTTTTTTTTTTTGTGTGTGTGTGGCTACTGTTAATGAGATTGTGCTTTTTATTTGTTTCTCTGCCTATTTGTTGTTGGTGTATAAGAACGTGACTGTCTTTTACACATTTATTTTCTACCCTGAGACTTTGCCAAAGTCCTTTACAGTACAAGGAAGTTTTTGGGCAGATTATCCTGGATTTTTGAGATATAGGGTCATATCATCAGCAAACAGCGATAACTTTCTCTTTTCCTATTTGGATACTCCTGATTTCCTTCTCTTGTCCAATTGCTCTAGCTAGGACTTCCACATAATGTTGCACAGAAGGGGTGAGAGTGGGCAGCCTTACCTTGTTCAGATTTTCAGGGGAAATGCTTCTTGTTTCTGTTCATTTAGCAATATGCTGGCTGTGGGTTTATCATAGGTGGTACTTACTATTTTGAGAATGTTTCTTCTAGGTGTCATTTTTTTTTTTTTTTGCCTAGGTGTTCAAGGGTTTTTATCAAGAAGGGATGCTGGAGTCTTTTCTTTTTTCTTTTTTGCAAAAGGAAAAAAAAAATGACTTGCTCCTTGATAGGTGAAAATTTTCACACATCCCACACGCAAATCACGAAGGCCTAGAGAGAAAGAGCTAGTGCGAATTTTACAGTATAATTGCAAAACTACAAAGTGTTTAAAGAACAGTTATCCAGAAGCCTGATTCATTGAAGCATCTGATGTTGGAGAAAGCAAATCAATACTTATCTGTCTGCCTTGGTAGTTGGGTTTGTTGATGGTATTGTAGATATATTATTTTGCTGATTAAGAGAAAAAGGAAGCACTTCCTAAGAGTAATAGTGAATAATTGCAGATCCCAGAATAAAACTCTCAATCTTCAGTGTGCTTCTTGGCCTGAGTTACCCTTTGCATTCAAATTCTTCTGTTTATCACAGTGTAAGCTCCTAAGGATGAAACTGAGATCATCAAAGGCAACCTGAGCTGTGAAAGGCAAATTTGACATTCTTTAATTTGTTATTATGGTGGCTAAAAGTTTTGTTGTTTCTTGAACTAAAGCAATGGATTCTTTTTTAAGCTTTTGGCTTGAATCATAAGGCTTCAGGTCTTTCTAGGGAGTTAAGCATAAGGTAGAGAGAACCCTCACCTAGGTGTCAAAGAAGGGTAGTTTCAATTCTGTTACTTTGGAATATACTGATCTCTATTGACTGCTAAAAGTCGGATAACTCTTAACTCTAAAGGAAATGGGAGTGGAACTTGAATCAGAATAGGGCATGCTGTGGCTTCTGGGGTGCTGACAATAATCTGTTTTTTGACTGGAATGCTTATTGCTAAAACACATATTCAAAACAAAAAACCAAAAAACCCACATATTCATGTTCCATTTAGTTTTATGTACATGTATGATATTTCACAATTTAAAAGAAAGAGGAAAGAAAAAAGGGAGAGGAGAAAAGAAGGGGAATGGTTGGGTTTTGACAGGCAGGTATAAGCAAAGAGAGAAGTAACGAAGTTAAGTGCGTTTGAGAGACGGTAATTATAATGACGAACAGATGAGGTAAGACAGCAACGCAAGGCAAAAATGAGAAAAGATATTTTTATCCCCAGATATGTAATAATTCTTGATTGTTTGCCTTCTTCTGGGTTCCTTAGAGGTTGTGGCAAGCAAGAAAGGATAAAAAATGCCATGGGGCTTGTTACAGGGCTGGTCAGAACTTTGTAATGTGTGCAGATAACTACCTGATTTTACAAAATATTTGTGCAAAGGCTATAGAATTATTGTATCTCGAATCAATCTCTGATGAGGGAAAGAGAAAAATCAAACCACGCCAACTTTCGCACTTTGTCAAAGTTTTTCCTAGTCGTGCCATCTATCTTGTACCTCTGGCTTGTGCAGTGCAGCCTCTCCAGCACTGGCTTGGGAACCTGGATTCAGTACAGAGATATTGATACCTTTCTACAATGTGTGATGATCCAATCAGTGTAATTAGCATATCCATTCGTTCAAACATTTATCATGTATTTGTAAAATCATTGTGTCGATTAAAAATGATAATAACAATAACAACTACCACAAAAAAACCCCCAGCAGGGGCAGCTTTCTCCGCATGAGCAATAGCCCAAGGGCACAGCCTGTGAAGCAAACAATAGCCAGGGCATTCTGTGTTAGTCCAGAGCCTGCAGACTTCTAGGCCTGGCCAGGGGTGTGTGTGTGTGTGTGTGTGTGTGTGTGTGTGTGTGTGTGTGTGTGTGTGTGTGTGTCTGTGTGTGTGTGTGCGCGCTGAGGGTATCCTCCAGCATTTCATGCTTTTGGGGTAATGGGGAAAGTGATGATGGGTAGGCAGGGAGTGACACGTTCTCAGACCACATTTGCAAACAGTAGATAGGACCTGGAACAGTTACCCTGCAGCCCAGCCAGCCAAGCAGGTGGTGTCCACAGGCATGGCCCCACAACAAATGCAGCAATGCATCTTCTTCCTCTACAGAGCAAAACTTACTGTGGCTTTCAGCAATGCAATCACTGCAAGATGTTCTTAACAGAGTCACCCTTAACACTGAGCCAAACACCTTGGCTGAGCAAATCCACAGAGGCGCATAAGCCAGTCCAGGACATTATCTGTAGCAAAAGTTTAATCTTGTCTTTTCTTTTGGTCAGCTATTCCGTGTGTTTTTTGAGTAATGTGATATAGCCTGAAAATGAAAATTTAATAATAATGTAATAGTAACGGTATCCAATGGACCCTTCCCTCAACTCTCTCCAGAAAGAAAAAAAAATATATCAAACTTATAAAAGTTGTGTTCAACTAGTCAGCATTTGACTTTTTTGCCTTAGTATCAATAATAGTCAACCTGAACATTTCTATAACTATTAAAGAAATTTAGTCAGTAATAAAAACAGTCCAATTAAGAAAAAACTCCAGGCTCATAAGGCCTTACCCATGATTTCTGTCAACTATTTTAAGCAGGAAGTAATTCCAATCTCATACAAACTATTCCAGAGAACAGAAAAACAGCATTTGTTCACCAACTCATTTCACGTGGATAGCTTGTCCTTGATTCTGGAAATGGGCAAACTGCACGTATCATTAACCATGAATATTTAGGTGGTAGTTTTTTGTTTTTGTTTTAAGTAAGGAAATGGTGATCCCACCAGTCAGGATAATGCTTAACTCTAGGGTGGTAGGAATGGATCTTGCTCAGAAAGGGCATGTGGTGGACTGTGTGCTGACTTGATAATACCTTTTGGCAGTTTCTCTTCCTTCATCTCACTTCTAAGTGTAGAAATTTCTCTTCTTTCAATACACATTCTTTTTTTTCACTACAAATTCTTTTTTTTTTCACTACACATTCGTTTAGTGATCTCTTCTCTTCCTAAATGTACACACCTAGCTCAAATCTCTTTTCCAAACTACAGACTCACATACGCGGACATCTCAATGGTGGTCTTACAGGTTTAAACTTGACACATAGAATCGAACGCTTGATTCCCTCCTCTGAAACTGCTGCCCATCTTCTCCATTTTAATTAATGGCACATCATCCCACCTGTTGTCCAGTTTACCACATTAGGAGTCATT